GTTCGGATGGTGATCCCTCACTGCTAACCTCAACCTTGGAACGGGTACTGACCGTATCCTGAAATAACAACAATGGTGGGTCAACCCCACGAGCAAGTCCTCTCTACTATGACCCAGATCAGAGAATCAAATAAATTAATCATTTATATCCGGATGAGTACTATATCTGTATACATCCTAAGGGAAACTATCCAATGTATAACATGACCTCTACCAGAATAGACGGTGATCACTTAGACTCACACTAGGTGGTTAAGTGTCGCCTTTCCCTACCCGGGAAATCAGCTATTATACATGGTGTATGGTACTGACAACACAGACTATAACGAACTACACAGTGATAACACCTCTCAAAGCACTGATGAATATACTGAGCATATAAATTAGGCAACACATGCCAATAATATTAAACCACATACCCCGACAGCCACACATCTGTCTATGGCAACGAATGCATAAGGTATAAATGAGTCTCAACTTATTAGTCAGCTCACATGGTTCCATATGGCAACACATCCATATAATATAAATGCGACATAATTTATTTAGCAGTCCATTTACCTCCTGAAATGCACACAGCATAGTAATAATGATTTGTATATCATTAACAACATAAATAATCCCGTAATGTATAATGGACAATTTATAAAACTAGGTAATCATTTAATTGAACATTAACCATTAATACCATTTAATAAAATAATGACACAATTAATATTTAACAATGTCATTAAATTAATTACATCTGTTTAATAGCGACCCGTACTGGAAATGATACAATTAATATTTAGAAATAGTAATCGGACATAATAATAATTAACGGGTAGCACAATAATAATTTAATGTCCCGCTAATCCCGAAAATACCAACCCGAGGCCCAAAAATGCAAGTCGAAGACTCTGGAAATTACAAATCAGTCCTTAGGGGTATTCTGGACTTTTCCAGCAGCTGCAGAGACCCCACACGCGCCCTCACGCGCCTCCCAGAGCTTCCTACACGCGCCGCCACTTTCCTCACACGCGCACGCGCTTACACGCGCCTCCACGCGCGTCTGGCATCAGCCACGCGCGCGCACGCGCTACCACGCGCGTCTGGAGCATTCTACGCGCGCGCACGCGCTGCCACGCGCGCACTAATGGTACCTTGCTGACGCGGCGGCTCCTGATTCGGTGGTTGCATGGACTTTGTTGTGGGTGCGCTGTATGGAATTGATCCAAGGCTCATCCTTTAATCCAACGGCTCCTGACTTGCGTGCACCATGCTATTGTGTGCTACGCTATACCGAATCAATCTGTGATTTAAAATCCAATCTAACCGCTACTGATGCGCGCACATAGTAAGCCTTGTGTGCCGCACCACATGGGATCACTCCGGTCACCTTCCTCGTTGCCGGTGGCCGAAAATCTCGCCGGAGCCTCGCCGGAAATTACAGAAAAATCCCGAAAAATTCTAGAAAATTCTAGAAAAATCCCTAAAGCCTTATTTAATTATTTTCAGCCATTATTAATTTCATAGGACATTAAATAAATATATACCATCCTATATAATTAAAATTTCACAAATTTAATAAACTAAAATTCCTAATTTATTAAACTCCTTACATGGTCTCTATGCTCTAAAATAATATAAATAAACTAAACAATTAATTTATTAATTCAAAGGGGAAAAATAGATAATAACTTGTCTTATGGATTTAAAATAAATCCGCCGGTTGTGCGTAGTCGGGTAAAATCGCCTACACCGGTCCAAGCTTCTTTCTCTCTCTCTTTTCCTTTCACTCTTATAAAATAACTCTCTGAAATTTTTAAGCTTTCTAACTTAAGTGAGTTGCCTTAAGGGTAAGTTGGCTAACTAATATATATATACAACTTATATAATATATATAATACAAATATCTAAATTTTCATTAACTTTCAACATTCCCACCTATATGGCTTTAAGGCAATGCAAAACATAGTCAAGTTATTTGATCTACCATTATACCATAGTAAATGAAATTCTATCCTAATATTTAATTTTTCATCATTACATTGATTTATTATTATTATTATAATTATTATTATTATTATATTATTATTAATAAACTTTTATTATTATTAATATTATATTATTATTATTAATAAACTATTATAATAATAATTATTATTATTACATAAGAATACATTACAATCATAATCATACTTTACCATATAAATATAATACTTTAATTAACTAATATTGCTTAATATAAACCTTACCAATAAAAAAAATATAAAATATCAATACATGCACAATTGACTACTTTAACATACACAATTAATTCACATGCACAATTAAATGAATTTAATATAATAATGTAGCATGCACAATAATAGGTAGAGAAATCTACACATAAATGAAAATAAACTAAGCTCTTTAATTAAATATGGGGTATTACACCAGCAGGCCATGAAGAAGAATTGATTTTGAGGATACTTCAGCTAACAGAGAAAGCAAGGCTGAAGGAAAAAAGCCAATGGTTAAGGAAACTCCAAGGTCTAAGGATGACTTAGAAAAGGAGTTGCGGGAGGCTCAACTGGCGTTGATCAAGCAAGGATTATGCCCTAAATGCAAGACGGACATTGGAAGGGACCGAGAGAGGTTCCACAGCGACACTCGGGGACGTCCTGGAAGTTCACGTCATGAAAACAGACCTAGGTCACCCTCGTCTAGGGTGCCTGTGACAAGTCGATTAACATGGCCTGATAGAAGGTCTAATACCAATGAGCATCACAAGCGAATGCGAGAAGTGAACACCAACAATCGGTCAAGGAAAGTTACTCATGCTGTCTGGAAGCCTAGAGAGTATAACTCAAATGTGGCTCGCCAAGCTGAGACATCAGTTGACCACCCAAACCATAGGCAAAGGATGGTCAAGCCACCAGTCACTGACGATGGTCGATGGTCAAGGGTGAGTCATCCAAAGTTCTCTAGGGTCAGGGATATCCCGCCAGCATTCATGACTCGCACTCAAGTAAGACGGTGGCAGCGGATGAAAACTGAGTTAAAGAGAATGGAAGAAAAATATTCAGCTCCACAGCCAGAGAAGGTGACTTTGCTTAGGAGAGAACCTATCAAGCAAGATTCAAAAAATGATCCGAAAGGAAAATCCAAGGAAGATAGTGCAAACGGAAATGGATGCACTGAAGAGAAATGTGCGTCTTCCTCCATGAAAGAAGCTGAAGATAAAGCAGGATTTGTTGATGATGAACTCGACCTGGATGAGCAAGATGATGGTTCAAAGGGTATTAAATTTGGTTCATTTGAAGGAATTGTGAATTGCAATATGGTTCTTACCTTGCCTCATATTTTTGAGGCTAAACCTGATCAACCCTTCGCTATGGAAGGAGACGTCGAGGTGATCGATGATGAAGGGCAGGAAGTTCCAGAGATTATTGAGAACCCATCTGAGTTGATCTTTGAAGATAAGAAACAGAAAGTCGTTGTGATAAGAGCTAAACCACGAGATAATGAGTCAGTGACTATTGGGAGAGATCAGGCGGCTAGGGTGATTTTTGAGAAGCCTTCTGCGGCAATGTCTCAACACTTAAAACCACTCTATATCAGAGTGTTCCTAGAAGGGATGCCAATGTCTTGGGCACTGATAGATAATGGATTTGCGGTAAATATCCTTCCGATGAACACCATGAGGTTGCTGCAAAAAATGGAAGATGACTTGATTCCCACTGACTTGACAATCAGTAATTTCACGGGGGGCAAAGTCAGGACCAGAGGGGTGGTCATCTTGGAAATGACAGTTAGAAAATGTAAGACCATGACTGTATTCTTCGTAGTCGACGCAGGGGCGGCTTACAACGCTTTGATTGGGCGTGATTGGTTACACCCACATTTCTGCATCCCTTCTACCCTCCACCAGTTTATGATTTTTTGGGATGGGGATGAAATCCAAGTCATATGGGGAGACAATAAGTCTTTTGAAGCTCGGGTCCATGTGGCTGATGCAGTTTTATATGAGGAAGAAATAGATCCTGTGAGGCTCATTGGTTGTGACAAGTATGGCAAGCCTGAGAAGGCGACGATGAGGAAAAATCTGACAGACGGGGACTTATCCGATTTATTCAAGGAACTATCAAGGCCAAGTGTTATCTGTGAGCCAAGGCCGATAGTTGAAGTTGATGAACAACAGGTTGTTAATGGACCAAGCCCAAAAGGAGAAGGAGAAAATGCTAGCATTTAAAGCTAGCATGGCACGGCTGAGAACATATCTCGCCGAAAGATGGGCAATGTTGTGGAGTGATATGTCGGCCAATATGGCCGAAATCATAGAAGAAGGTGAGTCAGGGGATTGTCGAGATGTTATTCAGCTAGAAGAGCTAGATGCAGCCCCAACTAAGCTAGAGGATCTGAAAGCCGATATTCAGGATCCCTTGTTGGAGATCAATTTGGGAGCAGAAGAAGAGCCTCGGCCAACCTACATAAGTGATCTTCTAGAACCTGACTTTAAAGCTGAACTGATTTTGTTGCTTAGAGAATATAAAGATTGTTTTGCTTGGAATTACACTGAGATGCCGGGATTACCAAGACAGCTAGTCGAGCATCGACTACCTATAAAAAAAGGTTTTAGACCATTCAAGCAAGCGACTATGAAAGTGAAGGAGGAAATTAAGAGGTTGCTCAAAGCAGGATTCATCCGGACCACAAGGTATTGCGATTGGCTATCCAATATCGTTCCCGTAGTTAAGAAGAATGGAAAGATTAGGGTGTGCGTAGACTTCAGGAATTTAAATTTAGCTACTCCAAAAGATGAGTATCCAATGCCCATGGCCGATCAATTGATTGATGCGGCCGCCAAGAATGAGATTCTGTCATTCATGGACGGTCACTCAGGATACAACCAGATATTCATAGCAGAGGATGATGTTAACAAAACGGCATTTAGATGTCCGGGAGCCATAGGCACTTTCGAATGGGTGGTGATGCCCTTTGGTTTGAAGAATGCCGAAGCCACTTATCAATGAGCTATGAATGCAATCTTCCATGACATGATTGGGAAATTTATGGAAGTATACATTGACGACGTGGTGGTGAAATCAGCGACAAAGGTGAAACATCTGGCCAACTTGAGGAGATCATTTGAGAGAATGAGAACCCATGGTTTGAAGATGAACCCACTTAAACGCGCCTTTAGAGTGACAGCAGGGAACTTTCTAGGGTTCTTGGTGCATCGGAGGGGTATCGAGGTCGACAAGAATAAAGCTAGGGCAATCATCAAAGCTCAACCACCTCGCAACAAGAAGGAGTTACAAAGACTAATTGGTCAAATCACATACTTGGGAAGGTTTATTTCAAACCGTGCTGGAAAAATCCATACCTTTTCTCCGCTCTTAAAGCTCAAATCAGAGGAAGACTTTCGATGGGAAAAGCATCACCAACATGTGTTTGAATCAATCAAGGAATATCTTGCTAACCCTCCTGTCCTTATGCCACCTAGGAAGAAACAGCCGCTGAAGTTATATATTTCAGCCGCGGATGAGTCAATCGGAAGTTTGTTAGCCCAAGATAATGAAGTAGGGAAAGAACTGGCAGTGTATTACCTTAGTCATATTTTGACACCGGTTGAGCGTCGATATACGCCAATCGAAAAAATGTGTCTTGTTTTGCTTTTTGCTGCTCACAAATTGAGAATATATATGCTACTTGTTTTAGTTTATGTGATTTGTGCCACTGACTTAATTAAGTATATGCTTTCTCGTCCAATAATTTTTGGACGAATAGGCAATTGGTCCTTGGCCCTTATGGAATTTAGTTTCCAATATGCGCCTCAAAGGGCCGTGAAGGGCCAAGCACTTGCTGATTTCCTAGCTGACCATCCATGCTTGGATGTTGATCCGGGAGTCTATGATGCAATGGAGTTATGTGCTATTCAACTAACTCCTTGGACTCTAATCTTTGACGGATCCAGCGCAAATGATATCGGGGGAGCTGGAGTTGTAATAATTGTATCAAATGGCAGGAAAACAACATATTCTTTCTTTCTAGATTTCAAATGTTCTAACAATCAAGTGGAATATGAAGCTCTGATTATTGGTCTTGAAATACTCTTAGAGATGGGGGCACAGACCGTTGAAATCATAGGTGATTCAAGTCTAGTGATCGGTCAGTTGTCCAGCAATTTCAGGTGCCAAAGTTGGCACCTCAAACCATTTCACTCTATAGCCATGCAATTACTACAAGAATTTGCAGAGGTAAAGGTTAAGCACGTTTATAGATTGCATAATAAAGAGGCCAATGATTTGGCTCAAATAGCATCTGGCGTTAGGGTGCCAGAACGAATAATGGAGAATTTGATCAGAATAAAGAGAAGATCATTACCCTCAGTTAAGGTGAGGGAAGAATTGTTGGCAGAGGTCTTTACAATCGAGGTGGAAGACGATATGGAAGAGAATGATTGGAGAACACCGATCATCGATTTTCTCAAAAATCCAGACCCTAAGGCTGACAAGAAGCTAAAGATCAAATCTCTTAAGTTTGTGATGATTGATGGAGACCTATTCAGGAAAAGCATCAAAGATGACCTACTCTTAAGGTGTGTTAGTAAGAAAGAAGCCATGAAAGTAATGGGAGAGACCCATGAAGGGATATGTGGTGCTCACTAAGTTGGAATAAAAATGAAGTGGCTGATTAGAAGGTACGCTTATTACTGGCCCGGGATGCTTAAAGATTGTATCACATACGCCAAAGGATATCAAGCGTGTCAAAGGCATGGGCCAATTCATAGAGCCCCGGCGATTGAATTACAACCAATCATAAAACCATGGCCTTTTAGAGGCTGGGCTATGGATTTGATAGGGAAAGTTTATCCACCTTCTTCTAAACAACATTGTTTTATCATTGTGGCAACAGACTACTTTACCAAGTGGGTCGAAGCGGTGCCCATGAAGTCAGTGCACCAAGAAGATGTGATTCGGTTTATCAAACAACATGTTATTCATAGATTTGGGATCCCAGAATCAATCACAACCGATCGAGGTTCAACCCTTGTCGCCCAAGAAGTGCAGGCATTTGCAGCAGAGTACGGGATCAAGCTCCTAAACTCAACCCCTCACTTTGCGCAAGGAAATGGTCAAGCCGAGTCGTCTAATAAGACGCTAAAAGGCATCATTGAAAAAATGGTGGAAGATAACCCTAGGGTGTGGCATGAACTGTTATCAGAAGCACTTTGGGCATATAGGACTTCTCAACGGTCAAGCACAGGTGTGACTCCATTCATGCTCACCTATGGTCATGATGCAGTTTTGCCTATGGAAGTGACTGTGCAGTCAATGAGATTCGCATTGCAAAACAATTTGACCCCTGCTGAATATAATGAGTCTATGTTGGTCGAATTGGAGGACCTAGACGAAGTAAGGTTAAGGGCTCTTGACCACATACAAGTTCAGAAGAGGCGAGTAGCAAGGGCATATAACAAGCATGTTAGGGCCAAAATCTTCGGTGAAAGTGACTTGGTTTGGAAGACTGTCCTCCCAATGGGTGTGAATGATCAAAAATATGGAAAATGGTCACCAAATTGGGAAGGTCCATTTATGGTTTACAAAGTCTTAAAAGGAGGCGCATATCATTTGCAAGATCTTGACGGGGAAATACACCCTCGACCGATTAATAGCCGATACTTAAAAACTTATTATCCTACAATGTGGGAGACAATGGAGAATAAAACCAAAGATGGTTAAATAAGCAGAAGCCATAGAGACATGTATTTCATTCATTGTTTTCATTGAGTACAAGAGTTTATAAGAGTCATTACCTATCATTTTCTTTGCAGATAAACAAAATGACTCCTGAGCTCATCCCATTCTTTCTTAGACATAGCCATTTTTTCATCCTCTTTGGCCTTCTCAGTCCTCAGTCGAGGAATTTCTTTTGAGACTGATTCTCTCTGCTGATCAATTTCCACATTCTTTTGATAAATCTCCTTCATCTGAATAGTGAGTCCTTCTCTTGACCTGGCAGTTCCAGTCAATTCCATCTTGAGACGTTCTATCTCCCGTTCGATCTCTGCTGCTCTCTGGTTTTCCTTAATATGAGTTAATTTTAAGGTCCGAAAATGGGAAACATTGTCTTTCTCTTGTTGAATCAAAGATTCTTGCTCCTGCAGCTTTTCATGGATCGTAGACGACAGCTCACCAGCCTTCTGAGAGAGGAGCTGAAAATCAGAGACGAGAGTTGGGAATCGACTCTGGACAGATTGAAGATGGTTTATCTGTTCTTGACTTAAGTCATAATGATCTATCAAGACGGATATGGCATCAGTCACATCAGCAGCCAAACTTGGCATCTCAGAGAGGTCTCGGGACACGACGGCGACTAGTAATCTTTTTGCCCCCTCAATATCTGGCAGACGACTGGAAGACGTAGGCACAACAACTGGCTCGCTCATCAATGGATCTAGATCAAACCCAGCCGCTATCTCGGAAAAGTAGGCATCAAAGTCATCGATCGTGCTATAAGTTTGAAGGGGCGGTTGGGACTGAGAATTTGAGCCAGCCTGTGAATGAAAGGAATTTAATAAAACAAGTCAAGGCTTGAATAAGAGAATAAGTCATAAATACTCACACCAACTGGTGAAGGCCGAGTCACGTGGCCAAAGGTGCGTCCGGTAACAAACATTGGTGCAGAGTAAGGGCTTGGAACTTTTGGTTGTGTGCCCGGGGCAACCTGCAAGAGAAGAATGTTTTTGAATGCCTAACTTTGATAAAGATATACGGGAGATGTACTGAAAGATCATCTTGAAAATCACCTCAGCCCCATCAAACTGATGAAAGACAGTGTTTGGTTGAGTAGTGGCTTGTTGACACTCGACTCCACTAGTGCGAGGGTGATCAGCATTCGCAATGTCATCACAAGTGTTGATCCTATCTCTTGACAACGACCTAGCCGAGTGTGAGGAAACCTGTCCATAAAGATGCCATTAGAATCGGCAGGGTACATTGATACTGGAAGTAAAAACAAAGCCTAGTTACCTCACGGCTGGTAGAGATATTTGTCTCAACTGAGAAAGTCGATGGCATCAAGGGGTCAGGATTTTTTTCCTCCTTTTCATCGATCAGAGGTAAAGGGTTGGTGGTCCTGACTGAGGTAACCTGTTTTTTTCCTTTCCCTGCCCTGATCACCTGGAATACCGTTGAGGTTAAAAAAGGGGTATATAGGTGGTACATACAAGTAAGCTAAAGTTATAAGAGATTATGCTTTGAAGAATTCATAAAGAACACCTTAGGCCTCTTAGGGGGCACCACGTTTTCCTCGTCAGCCTCAGGCATTTCCGCCTCATGATCAGAAACTCCCAATGGGTCATAGAAGTCAACAGCTGCATAAAGGAAAAGATGTTTTTATGATCTAAGGCATAGAACTTGGTATTTATATATATGTAAGTATGAGTGTGTACCTTCTTTGGACGACTTTGATTTTTTCATCCTGCTGGGAGAACCAGGATTAGCCACACTGATCCCTTTTGATGGCTTGGTCGAGGCTCCTTGGGGTTTAATAAAAATGGAGGCAATCCTATTTGTTATAGTGCGAGAATCCTCCACCATAACCTCCGCAATATGGTTTCCCCACCAGTAGTCAAAGGATGGAGAAGTATCAGGATTTTCCAGAAATGGCTGCAAAGAAAACTTGTTACAGAGACGGTTGAACCGGGAGGATACTCTATCCACCGTTTCTTTTGAGGTGAAGACTACTCGTTCCAAGAAAGAAGTATTGAAAGATCGAAAATGTGATACCCCTCGGATCCGAGACACGGGTTGATCAGGCCCAGGCCCAAACCCGAGGGAATATCAAACAATTAATATTTTATAACGAACACGGAATACAAAATGAATTAAGAAATGAAAGTTTAAAGCTGAAGAGAAACTAAAAGATAATCCTTAAATAATTAAATACTTAAATTTGATAAACCAAATATCCATAATTTGAACAACTCGGGAATCCATCTCTAGTGGACCCCTAATAAAAATCTCACATTGAATGAAAGTAAAATGAAAGATAAAATCCAAATCCAAGATCTGGAAAGAAATCCTACATCGTCGGTAGAATAGAAGATCGTCTTTGCTTAGCACGAACAAGCTCAAGCCTGGAACTGACGTACACCTGAAAAATAGGAGTGGGTCAGGCCCACGAATAAGTTCTATCCTACTACAATCCAAGCAGAAACTCGATACGCATGTACGTACTAAACAGTTCAACAATAACTAATAATCCGTACATAAATATATCCACACTACTGGACTCTCGCTAGGCCATGAAGGGGGTCTCAACCTGGATAGAAGGCATCACACAATACGCACCTGAGTGGGCATGAGTACCTAAACCTAAACAGGGTATACCTCAACCTTCACAGTCAGCTACACATCCAACTGCATATACGCACCCTAACCGTTGACACTGAGACTCAAGCTCATGACACGGTAACATAAAAATATATCTAAACTCCGTTTCTAACCATCCACAAGAAATCCAGTAAGTCACTCGGCGTATTCAACCGTACCGACTTATATATATAAGGAGGATTGTATTTATAACCCGTGCCCTTACTCCAAAATAGGTAGGACTTAGCAATTTGAGCTAATCCAAACCTAGTATGTCACCGTCCCATACCGGTACATACAATCCAATCCGTCCAATAGTTGATAAAGCATATACAAGTACATAACAATATCAACGAGTCCATATCAAGCATATCAGAATGTATTAACAACCGTTCTTGAATAGTCCCAACAAATTGATTAACATTGGAAACATAAATATCAATATTAATTACTCTATTCCACACAGTTAAATAATTTATAAATGCCAAAACCAACAATTCCAACCTAACCATGTTAGAATAGATTAACCATCATGCTTTAATAAATCCAACCATTGATTAAGTACTAACAGTATCAGTGTCAAAACCCACAGTTCCAAACCAAGCACATTAAAGTATACTAGAAAAACATGCTTAATTAATCCAACAATAAGCCATTACCTGATCACCCACAGGACTGTGTCTGTAAATATAAGTTTATTCCCGGTATCCATAATTAACAGAGCTTAAACAAATGTTATAATATTTATTTCCATGGCATGCATAATAAATCTAGACAATTTATCATACTGTTAAGCTCCTATTCAACAAAATTGACGAATTAAATGTTAAGTTTAATCATCAATTAATCTTTAGCAAAAATACAGATTCCTTGTATGTATGTATATTCTAAGAATTTGCAATTAGCAATGCACAAACTCTCACAAGAAATTTTACATTATAATCTAGAAGTTAGAAACTCCAAATCCACACAAGTCTACAAGACATTCGTAATTAACTCCATGTAATCCTAATGATTAATGCTTTGTGTCCAATTCTATGTTAATCTGATCTTTGAATATTTATGTTTACTCTAGACCACTCCTAAACCATCCATTACAGTATTCATTCTCCACTAAAACATATTAAAACAATCACTATGAAGCCTAATCACTGAAAAGTGGAAAAACAAACAACAGAACCAAAAACCCACATAGAAAACAACCTAGAGCCGGCTCCAGAATATTGGAGCCGCCTCCAATGGCCTTGGAGCTAGCTCCTGGACCATTGGAGCCGCCTCCAATCCAAGGAGAG